CCGGGGACCTCGGCGCCGATTTCGTCCACGCACCAGCAGCTGTTCTCGCGCGGATGGCACTGTATCCTCTCGAACTCGCCCGTCTCGTTGTTGCACTTTGGTATGAACTGCGTGGATCCACGAGGGCCGAGGGCGCGTGATCTCCTTATGGCCGCCTGCGCTAACTGTTCGCATCCTGTCAGCTCTCCAACGACGCATTTGGTACCGCAGGATGTCTTACAGCAACGCTCGCCAGACGCTCGACACTGGAAGTCATTTTCGCAGGATGGCGCCCTTGCTGGACATATGTTCTGCTCCTCGAAGGATGGGCATCGACCTACCGTTTTCAGCGGCGGTTCTGTGAAACGAATCGTCTGCATGAGTTACCAAGCGTGACAGGTGCAGCTGATAATAGTGATCGTTAACCGTTATCCATGAAAAAACAGGGCTAACGTAGGGCCATAAATTAATACAAGGTTTACACGAATTTAATACAAGGGTACATCTTTCTAAAGTTCGAAAATAGCTAAAATTATGTAGGAAATTCACGGGACACGGCGTTAAGGATCTGGTCAATGGCGCAGCGAAGCGTACCCGACCAGTTTTTAATTAAGAAACAGGAAGCAGCGGGCGAGAAATATTCGCGCGGTAAAAAGAGGCACACCTTGAGATAAATTTATTCAAGATCGGCTGGTTTCGAGGAAGACATCTTTATAGGTCAGACATCATCACGATCTTCGTGTATCGCTTTTGTTCTCGGGCAAACTGGCGAACTAAAGTGTAGAGCAACGATGGAAATAATAATAAAAATAGCCGGAGTCGAGCTAACGGTTCTTCGCATCCTACTGCCACACTTACTACGCTTACCTAACGCGATACGAACACGTTTCCAGGGGCGACTGGCTGAGTCAGACACCTCCTGATGACGCCGTCGTGCCTGTAGGCGAGAAGGAAATACAGAATCGAATGCAACTGTGACGATTGTTCGATCAACAGCAAGTGCCTCTGGTCAACCTTTTTTCCATCGAACGAGTTTCCTCTTACAGATCATCGCGTTGAATAATCCGGGTCGGTGATTACGTTCGAGAACGTCTCGGAGAAGGGGTCAAGTCGATTTTATGAGCGCTCAGGGACATTTAAATCCGTCGGGAATGTGGATACATCTTAATGATTATTAGCGTGTTAACTGCTGGGTCACTGGAACGGTTGCAAGATTTACGATCGATTTCAGTCCGATATTTAACGTCGATGCAATTTGGCGATGTTACTTATGATCGAAATTGCATTTCAAGTTTCGGGCAATTCAGGACAATTCAATTTGTATACTTCGATTCGGGTAACTCGATTCAAGACAATTCAGTTGGTTTCAACTTGCGATTTAGTTTGAGGTCATTCATTTAGCTATCCAACTTGGAACAATTCAAGATTAGTCAATTTTGGGGTGTTTAATCGTACATGATTCGTCAGTGTAATTTGATACTGGAGAACTCAATTTGACGCAATTTAGTTTCAGTTTGGTTTAGTAATTTTGTGTGAAATGTTCCGACAAAAATTGGCGAAACGAAAATCTCTTTGTCCAAATACAGTAATTGGATTTGACGTTGTCCAACAAAGACAATTAATATATTACTGTTCAAATAATAATTTTATTTAAATCGATATTGATATTCTTGTCGACTAGAAGAAATGTATTTTATTACATTTTTATATTTAATAAAATGTATTGTATTACATTTTTTTCATTTGAGATGTGCATGTTATTCATACGTGTAGCATATGTTGAATGTATAGGAATTCGTGCATCGCATGTCAATCGACTTTTTACTTTGACTCTCTGTACTGCGCATATGTGCTCACATCGTTAAAGATTTCATAAAAGTCCAGTGAAACTTCCAGCACATCCGATTACCCGAATTTCCGGTTCGTTGACCATCGCCCTCTTTCGCTCTGCCTTTCTAGCTCTATTATAGCTGTTTCGCGTTAATCATCGCGCGAGTTTCCCTGTTACGACATCCTTTATCTTGCGATTTAATTACCTGCGATGTGCAATATGTTTGTCCGAATTTGGACGTGTCCATCAAAACCCGGTTAATAAACTCTTGGTACGCGAAACTTCCGTTAAGAACTTCTATATTATTGATTGAGAACGATTGAATAATATTGATCGACAACGATGCTAGATGGAAAATATTGATTACAAACATTTAATCATAGATTCGTATTTTTTCTCCTCCACTGCGTGCAAGAGACAGTGGTAAAATTGTGAAATTTTACACTTTCACGAATCTCGTTCATGGCAGACAAATATTTCTTCGGCTGCACATCATAATCGTTCAATTAAAATTAGCATAATAGAAGATGCTCCCAATACCGCACGCGACACATCGTATTAGGCAAAAAATTCCTAGAAAGCACACGCAATTAGCTCTCTCATTCGCAATTAAAACAGTGTTCTATTTAAATGGTATTTGCATAATTGGTATGGAAAATTTCTCTTCTTTCGTTAATTTCGTTAATTAATCAGTTGCATAATAGTCTCTAGTTAACAGCGACCACCGTGACAGCGAAGGCTATTCAACGCGTTAACGGATCGTATCAATGTCTTTCTAGTACGAAACACAGTCATGAACAAAAGCATCTGGAGAATGTCTGTAACGGCACAGAGCTGGGCGTATAAGAGAGCAGAGAGGGCGGGGAGGGTGAAATGGAAGAATGTGAAAGACCGTGGAGAAAAGAGAAAGAACGTGGAGAAAACGCGAAGAGGAAAGATGTACGCGGGGACGAGACGAAGGAATGCGGAGGAATGTACTTTAACGGTGCGAGAGAAATTCAATTTGTTATTGCCTCTAGCATGCAAATCGTTCTGGCCCTGATATTTATCGAGAACGCCGCGCCGGGTATCCTGCTGTAACACATCGGCAATCGATCGGACTTGAGCGTCGTTCGGGTCCACACCATCGGCAATTTAACCTCGTAATTAACGTATCTCGTTAAGTGCGATCGTTCATCCGCCTGCAGGATGTACCCTGGTTCACCGCTCTATAATCCTCCGCAAATAATTAACTCATCGATTAGGGAGATTCTCATGCACGCCCGTATTGATATCAATTGAAATACCCAACGCAAAAGATACTATTTTTTTCCAAGAAACATATAACAAATATTTTATACATTTATAACAGACTAGAGATTTATGGATTTAAAAATGTTGAAGTACAGGGATGTACAAATATTGGGATATTGGAAGATGTTCTGGTAACAACAAGGTTGGGACCATGGCAAGATTCTGGGATTTTGTGCTGACTGTATTTATAGGTGGACCTGTGGAACTTTGAGATCTAGAGATTTCGGGATATGGGGATTTTTGAATCTAGGGTTTGGGAATATAGGCATTTTTGAATCTAGGGATTTCTTAATCTTGGAATTTTTAGAAATAGGGATTTGAGAATCTAGGGATTTTTGAATCTAGAGTTTTGGGAATCTTGGGATTTGGGAATCTAGGGATTTCTTAATCTTGGGATTTGGGATTCTAGGGATTTTTGAATCTAGGGATTTTTGAATCTAGGGATTTCTTAATCTTGGGATTTGGGAACCTAGGGATTTCTGGATCTAAGGATTTGGGAATCTAGGGATTTTTTAATCTTGGGATTTGGGAATCTAGGGATTTCTGGATCTAAGGATTTGGGAATCTAGGGATTTGGAAATCTAGGGATTTGGAAATCTAGGAATTTGGAAATCTAGAGATTTGGGAATCTAGGGATTTCTTAATCTTGGGATTTGGGAATCTAGGGATTTCTGGATCTAAGGATTTGGGAATCTAGGGATTTGGGAATCTAGGGATTTTTGAATCTTGGGATTTGGGAATCGAGGGATTTCTTAATCTTGGGATTTCTGGATCTAGGGATTTGGGAATTAAGGGATTTTTGAATCTAGAGATGTGAGAATTTAGGGATTTTTTAACCTTGAGATCTGGGAATCTAGGAATTTTTAATCTTGAGATTTGGGGATCTTGGGATTTCTTAATCTTGGGATTTCGGGATCTAGGGATTTCTGAATCTATGGATTTCGGGATCTAGGGATCTAAGGATTTAGGGATTTAAGGATCTACAAATCTAGGAATCCAATAACCTGGTAATCTAGTCATGTGGATATCTAGACATCCAGCAATATCTCTGAGTACTTAAAAATTCTAAAATTCACATCATCACGTGTAATATCGCATAAAACGATCCCAAAATTGAATTCAATTTGTGGACCAGCGATTTTCATCGAACATCGATACTAATATTCTCCCAAAGTATTACAAGTTTACAAAAATCACCATTTGATTCATTGCAAACTTCCACAGGCGATAAAAGGTACCGAGCAAACTCCACCGGAAAAGGTATCCGAAGGTGCTAAAAGGGAGGATTAGACACCCGCCGGTTTGGCTCGCAAGAGCCGATCTTTCGCAACATCACAAGGACGAACCTGTCCGATGGATGATTCTCGAAATCCGATCACGTTTCTGTTCGTTGCATTATATGCAGATACACGCCCGTTTCGAGAGCTTGCTTTCCTTTTTTTTTCTGCCCCACACACGTCCACGCTGACCGAACGTGAACACGACGGAGCTCTATTGTTTGCTAATGGCCGCTCTTTCAATAATTCGGAACCAATCATTACGGACGAACGAAGCTGGCGGCCGGGAACGAGGGATGGAGAAATCGGTAAAAAAAAAATGGAATAATGTCGATGGAAAAAGGTGGACGTACCTGCTGTGACCGATGACGACAAGGATAGTAGCAGACAGGTCGATGACACCCACACAACGGCGCAGGCAAGCCCACCGTTGCAGAAATCACGGCGCATCCTCAGCGCATCAAGTGATTTTTTAATCGGCCGCTATATCTGAAATGATACGAAACGACGTTAAGAACTTTCGAGGATGATACATTGCGATATCGATCGAAGAATGTTCGATAAAATGTTCCGGCAATTTTTTATTATCGAGAAGGTCGTCGGTAACCGCAGTTATTATGTTCGAACCTGGGGTAGATTTTGTACATGGTTAATTTAATTTTATATACCTACATACTGAACGGAGAGATTTAACACATAGTATTTATGTAATCTTCATTTTGGAGTATAAAGACAGAACAGCAGTTCGAATTTACTTTCGGTAAAGTTTACGTCTGGATTTTATATTAAATTCGAGTAGAACTTAAGTCTGATCGAGGATCGAAGTGAGAACCTCTGTAAGAAATCATCGAAGCATATTTGGATTGAATTAGAAAGCGAGTTAGATTTGAACTAGGTCTGGGTTAGGTGCTCAAGAATCGTTGAACGAACAGCAGGATGAGTAGACTAAGAATATGAAAACATAACAATTTTAATTAAAATTTGTAACATTTCGTTGCTTGCTTTTCATTAAACGTTGCTTGCAATCTTTCTCGCGAACTTGCCCGATGAAACGATTAAAAATGATCATTCGAAGAGAAGATTAGGATTATTCAATTAAGGATTACCGTCGGTAAAACAATTAATCGATCCCGAATATCCTTTTAGAAAAGGCTCGGTACGCGTGAGGATTAAGATTCCGGGTAAAACACGTTTCGTTTTCGCGTGGAATTCGTTGTCGAAGTTCCGTTAAACTTGTGCCCTCCGTTTTGAGGCCAATAAAGGCCAAGATTATAGTTCCGGTAATGGAAAAACTTTCCACCTGAGAAATCAAAACTTGTCGACACGAACGCGAGCCCCGTCACTCTTTTCATTTCTACCTTTGAAACGGAACGGATGAAACTATTAAAAAAAAAAAAAAACAACGCAGTATCGTTTCATCGTCATGTCGTATCGTGAAATCTATCTCGCTCAACGTTGAAATGTTTTTAACGTCGAACGACGAAAAATAAATTCCCTTCCGTTATTTTGCAAAACATACAGCAGATTCCTGTTCTATCACCGACATTGGTATTACAGATTCCACAAATTCTTCGTATGTGTAATATGGTTGTGCGTTTGGTCGCAGTCGTGGAATCGATATGTGTTGTCTCGCATTATATTGCCATAAGTTACTTTGGCGCATGTTGTATTATCTATGCATTGTATAGCCACGCGTTGCATTACCCACGTATTATTATATCTACGCGTTGCAGTACCTATGCATTATATAGCCATGTGTTATATTGCCACGCCTTACGTCACCTACGCATTATTGTATAGCCACACGTTACATAATTTATATCGCCACGCGTTATATCACCTACGCGTTGTATCACCTACGCGTTGTATCGCCACGCGTTATATCGCCTACGTGTTGTATCACCACGCGTTATATCACCTACGCGTTGTATCGCCACGCGTTAGATCACCTACGCGTTGTATCGCCAAGCGTTACATCCCCTACGCGTTTTATTGCCACGCGTTACATTACCTACGCGTTGTATCGCCACGCGTTATATCGCCTACGTGTTGTATCACCACGCGTTATATCACCTACGCGTTGTATCGCCACGCGTTATATCGCCTACGTGTTGTATCACCACGCGTTATATCACCTACGCGTTGTATCGCCACGCGTTATATCGCCTACGTGTTGTATCACCACGCGTTACATCACCTACGCGTTGTATCGCCACGCGTTATATCGCCTACGTGTTGTATCACCACGCGTTATATCACCTACGCGTTGTATCGCCACGCATTACATAGCCAAGCGTTATATCACCTGTGCGTTATATCGCCACGCGTTATATCACCTACGCGTTGTATCACCTACGCGTTGTATCGCCACGCGTTATATCACCTATGCGTTATATCGCCACGCGTTATATCACCTACGCGTTGTATCGCCACGCATTACATAGCCACGCGTTATATCACCTATGCGTTATATCACCTACGCGTTATATAGCCACGCGCTACATTACGCATCATTATATCTACGCATTGCACCGCCACGCGTTGCATTACCTACGTAACGTTGTGTTACGCGTTGTATCGCCACGCATTATATCACCACAGTTACATTACTTATTGCATTACATACGCGTTGAATCGCCACGCATCACACTATCCACACATTACATTAGCAACGAATGCCACGCGTTGTATTAGCTACATTCTACATTGCCCACATATTGCATCACCTATGATTGTATCTCCATGCATTTTGCACGATATCCCGGAATAACGGTTTACGAACAACGAAAATAAAATCGATAAGCGAACGAAACGATTCGTTTTGCAATTCAAAACAGTCCACCTTTGATCCAGCTTAATACGGATAATAGTTCGTTTAATTTCACAGTCTAAGTACCAGTCTCGTTAAAATCACGAGCAACTTAAGGATTCCTCGGTCGGAAAAGAAGAGAAAAATAACAACGAAAGTTATGTCTCTTTATTCGTTATAGTACGGTGAATATTCTAATGCGTTCTTCTCCGTTATTCATGAGCCGTGGTTAGCTTCGAGATCTACGAATTGTTGGGTCGTTTTCGTTTCTTTTCACCTCCCTTTGTTCCTCGTTACAAGTTCGACGGGGACGTTGCCTCCTTCTACCCATCCTCGTTCTTTTCGTTCCGCAGCTCGCGGATATTTTCATTGTGACCATCGTTTCCCGGGAAAAAAGATGATTAAAGGAAAAAACAGACGTGTTTTTCTACCGATACCTCATTGGTCCCTGGAATTCTTTCAGCTCGTCTTCTGACCATTCTTATCAATATTTCATTCGTGTTTTTCCAACTCCATTAATCTTCCTTTTCATTTTACACCGTCTGCTAATCTTCTTGCTCTGTACAGCTAAAACTCCTAACGCTTACTCTTCGGAATCTTCGCTACACAGATTCGTTATATTTTATTTGCACGAACTCACTGAAAGAAAGAGTTGAACATTTTTTTGAACCGAGCACAAAATTTATCTGAAACTCATTATTAAAAATATTTGTTACCTCATTAAAATTAATCAGAGTTTCTTGCAACAAAGATGTCACATTTTAAATCCATCTTCAGTTCCATCAAAACGAATATCATAACTGTAATGATTTAATTGTATCAACGGTGAGTAATATCCTGTGCATCGACCACCATTTCAAATTGAAATTGACGCCGCCGTTTTTAATAACGAAAGTTCTTCGCAGAAATTTCATTTGCGCCCGTGGGAAGACCACGATGTATCCTTGTTTCGAGTTGATGCTATTTTTCATTTTCCCTTTTTGTTCTTCCTTGCGGCGCACGATATCACGTGCATCGACAGTTTCGTTTCGCTCGGGCCTAAAGTATAATGGCGGCTACGTCGGTAGGAAAGTGGAGGAGACTTTTATGTACGGTGAAATTACCGACGCGACGGGTTACATCCTTTGGGAAGCCTTTAAATTTAGGGTGTATCCTGTCGTATGAATAATGCATCGAGAAAGAGTGTGCTAACCGTGGCCACGGTCAGAACCCGAACGTCACGGTAATTACATCGATGATCACGTTCAGATTACGTTCGACGGTCGTTACACTGTCATTATACCCAAAATTTGAATTTCTATTGCGCCCACGATAATTCCGATGTTCGCAATAAAATAACCACAGCGTTATCTCTCGTTTCTGCTAATAATTCAACATTATTTTGTATTTACTGCTATTCTCGTTTATTAATTCCATTCGCTTGTATTTAGCCGATATACAAATACGTGTCTCGAAACAACAATGATATTTTAATTACGCTAGTTCACATGCGACAGTTACTTCAAGTCAAAAGCAAACCATGCTTAGCAAAACAAAAGGTAAAACATCACGGAAAAGAACGTCCTCGCGATGTTCCGATCTGATTAACGTCTCTGTTTCTCACGTGCCTTCCGATGGACTCGAACGCGGAAACATTGCACGGATATCACATGTTCCAGATCATTTCTGAATAGGCGTCCATTTATGGTAGAAAGTTGGCTATTAAATACATTTTCCAGCGCACATTTTCCACGCGCTACTAATGATACCGTTCCTCCTAGCCTCGCGCTTTGAAAAGACATTTTCAAATTGTCGCCTGGAGAAAAAGGCCAACGGAAGTGAAAAGAAAAAAAGCAAAGAAGAGAGAATAACAGCGGTAGAAATGCTTTCAAACATTTCAGGAACTCGTGTGACGTAACGTCCGTCTCTCTGGTACATTCTATTCGACGGTCTGGTGCCATTGTTGGTGAACGCCGTCGTCGAACGAGGACGAAGGAAAAACCGACTCGTGAATGTTGCAAAGGTGGTTGCCTTTTCGTGAAAATATCGTGCGAATAGGATTACGCTATACTCGTGAAACTGGACAACTTTTATTCCGGTTTATTGACACCAAACTTTCTACAATTGGTAATAAAATCAGCGGCGATATATTGCGCAACGTGTAGGGATTACTTTCTACATTCCCTCACAATTTTTTTTTAATATCTCTTTGAAAGTTTTGGAACATTGGTGAAAACTGAACGAGCGCTAAATATCTTGCGAAATGTTCAAGGGTGTCGATTATGGATTCAGTATGGCACCCTCGAGAAACCTTGCAAGGTACATTTATGGGTATCGAGTATCGCAATAGATCAATCAGGTGTAACGATATGATTGTAACGACCCGAGGTTGAATTTATTGCAAGTACGTTTTCCACGCTGTTTCGAGACTGTTGTATCGAAGCTATAATTGAACGCGATATTTGAATTTAAAAAAGTCGATTTCACGTTTGGCTGAGACTTTCTGCAGGCTAGTGATGTTCAATTAGCGAACGCCTGGCGGATTATCGTAAAACGTTTTGTTCCAATTACTCATTCGAATCCGTGGGACAAATCCATTAATGCGTTCCCGTGCAGTTCTCCATTTTTAATCGTTTTTATAAACGGGCAAACCAGAATTCACGACGAAGCAAGCAGGCAGCAAACATCGGTTAACCGATTT